GATTGTAAATTTACTACAAATTTAGAATCCAAACAAAACCCATTTTGTGTTTGTATAAAGTACTTTAAGCTGTTCGTTCGGGACTTAGTATTTATTCTACAGTCTTCAGTTTTTGTGTGTAGCCCCCCCCCCCCCCCCTTCAGCATGGAATTCATATAGAAAGGTTCTAAAAAATCTGGAGAGGTTTATTTTCTTTTACTACTGAGGATCCACAAACTTCAGTTACGTTCTCAGGACAGCTGACATGATGGAAAATAAAAATAACATTTCCCAAAAACTATTAATAAAAAGGCATTAGACCAACATAGTAAGTTATTAAAAATATAAAGCATTGTATAAGAAAATTATAATATCATGTGTGTATTTTTAGCAGCTTACAAGAAGTAGGTGACTTTAGAGTTGTTCTGAGGATACTATGCAGTTTGTCTTCTGAGTGCCATGAAATTGACACTGAAGAACTACACACACCACAGAATCTGGGGTGCTGAGTTGTCCGTGTGTGATGGGAAAGAGGAGGTGAATTGTTACGTATTTGATAGTGCTGTTTGTACTCTTCCATTAATTTGCACAATTATTTTGTCTTTATATTTCCCAATGACTGTAACAGAGTAATTGTTTTTGCTTTCCGACAGCCTGAATGAGATGTGATTGGCAAATAAAGATTATATACAAGTACTGTGTACAATGACATAGAGGTCTTTGTATAAACTATGAAATTAACATGTTCATTATCACATGTAAACAAACACAGATACACAAAAATATCAGTGTAATTTTCTTTTAAAATTAAAGACAAGCTTATTGCCATTGTTTTTGTTGCTTTATTTAACACATTCCTCCTCCGATCCTACTTTCCTTCTTAGTCTGGTTTTTATTTCATATTCCTTAAATACTGATGATGGTATCTGGGATGTGAGTACCTGTAGTATAGGAAAGCAAGCACATGCTGGCTGTAGTAGTTAGATGTGTTAGTTCCTGCTTTATGAAGGATAAAGTATTTGAAGTGAACCTAATAGATATCTAGAATTTCACAGGAGAAATGGGAAAAGAGTTTTTTATGAACTGTTTGTGGATACAGGGAAATTCAAAATCTTTTTAGATAGTGGTGAATGCATAGTGAGTATATTTGGTAGAAGTAGACATAAGTTGGGGAAAGTAATAAATAGTTCTAGAAAGGTAAACTAAAACAAAATGGTTTCTTGAATTCCAAAGTCCAATGTTTACATTTTTAGAGAAAACTTGATTTTGTAGTAGAAGAATAGCATATGCAGAACTAAGAAGTAAGCTTCAAGTCATGCTGGAAAGAGGAAGCTCTGTGGTTAATAGTTCATACTGCTTTTCCAGAGAACCAGAGTTTAAGTTCCCGTCCCCACATCAGGTGGGTCACAACTCTTTGTGACTCCAGCTCCAGGAGATCTTGCTCTTCTGGTGTCCCCAGGCTCCTGAACACAGGTGCACATAGTCCCTGTCCCATACACATAATAACTAAGCCTTTCAAAACAGGAGTTATGCATAAGAGAGACTTGGAGATGAGATGTTTGCTTCATCTCAGCAGGAGGTAACTAATGATGTAAATTAGGGAGTTACTGACTGACTCAGTGTTCATGATTGCAATAGCATCATCATGATTGCAGTAACATCGTCATGTTTGGAACAACAACATTTCACAGTCTCCTTCCCCATCCTCCATTTCTTATATTCTTTCTTCCTTTTCTTTTGTCGCATTCCCTGAGTCTTGATGGTAGTGGTGATGTCCCATTTAGGGCTACGCCCCTATTTTCTTTTTCTAAGTGCTTTGGCCAGGCACACAGCTCTCCACCGACTGCTGTCCACTGCAAAAGGCAGCTGCTTCAACCAAAGTTGAGAGCAGCCCAGGCTCTGGGTAGAAACATCAGGTTCCAGTGCTGTTGCTTTCTCATTGTAAATCGGTGCTGTATTTCGCAGACCTCAAGTCCAACATAGTCTAATGTTTTGGTCAGTGTCTTCTGATACTCACGTGCTGACAAAAATGAATAGTCAAAATGTTTACAGCAGAAATATACCAATGTTATAGTCACAGATATTCAACCATATATATATATTTATTTATTTTGCTCAATCAGTCAAACCTCATGAATTAGGGTGAAAGAACGGCACCAAATGCATGCCGTACCCCAAACTAGAACCTTGACTTCCTGTAAACTCTAGGGTTTATATGCTGCTTAGTTAGGGTTTCTATTGTTTCAATATAATACTATGACCTAAGAGCAAGTTGGAGAGGAAAGGGTTTATTTGGCTTAAAGTTGCACATTATAGTTCATCATTGAAGGAAGCCAGCACAGGAACTCAAACAGGGCAGGAACCTGGAGGCAGAAGCTGATATAGAGACCATGGAGGGCTGCATCTTACTGGGTTGTTCCCCATGGTTTGCTCAGCCTGCTTTCTTATAGAACCCAAGACCACCAGCCTAGGGATGGTTCCACCCAAAGCACCCACAATGCCTGGCCCTGCCCCATCAATCACTAAGAAAATGCCCAACTGGCTTGCCTACAGCCAGATCTTATGGAGACATAAGAGCTCCTCTCAGATGACTTTAGCTTGTGTCAAGTTGACATAAAGCTATACAGCATATATGGACTCCCTAATGACCATGTTTGTTAATTCTTTTGTGTGTTCACATGTGTGTTTGCCTGTGTGCTCATGCATAGGTGCACACTAATGTTTTCATGTGGAGGCCAGAGAACAGCCTCCAGCACTTTTCACTTTGTCCTTGAGGCAGAGTCTCTCACAGACCTGAAGCTCACCAAGTAGACCAGATTGGATGGCCAGCAAGGCCCAGGAAGAGTTTGTTTTCACTTCACCAGTGCTGCATGGGTATGGGAATCAATTTCAGGTCCTTGTGCTTCTGCGTCCCATCACTGGGATGACATGCTCTTGTCACCACAGCTGGCTTTTTTCATGGCTACTTGGTATTGGAACTCAGGTCTTCATGCTTGCCTGACAAGTGCTTTAGTGACCGACCCATCCTCCAAGCCCTTAAAGGACCTTTTCCAGTTGCAGTTCAACTTTTGTACTCCTTGTTTGGATTCCGTAACTTCTTGGCTTACTTTGAGACTTTGATTCTTCCTAAATTTGGGGCTCCTGCTGCATCATGTTTGTTAGGCTATACACTCACTTGTGTAAAGGATTCTGAGTGAAAAGTATACTCTTTTTCTTTAGGATATTATTTTTCCAGGTCCTACTGTATACGTGTGTGTGTGTGTGTGTGTGTGTGTGTGTGTGTGTGTGTGTGCACATGTGTGCATGTGCATGTATGTTAGTGCCTGTGTTTTCCCCGGTGTCATAAACTGAATGTGGTAAATCTGAAGCTTGAAAGTTTTGACAATATTCATTAAAATATAAAAGCAATATATAACATTGATAATGTCTCTGTAGTGACTTAAAATTATAAGTATTTTATATATGAAATCTAAAGTGCAATTATGCATCATTTAAAATTTTTGTTACTGACCTCCTAAATGAAATTTAACATAAGTAACTCTGCCCATCCAATTATGAAAATGTTGACTATATAATCTAATTGTTTAAATCAGTCATCATTGCCAATCTCTCTTTATGACATAACTTGTCTGTCAGTAACAAGCTTGACTTCATTTTAACGTGTTAATACTTTCTATGAAAATATTCCGTCTCTGAATTCCAACTGTGAGATATAAACTTGTAACAGGAGAACACTCAGGATGAAAATAAAGATGTTTCCCTCCAATTTTCCTTGCTTGGCTGTTAATGTATTTCCTAGTATCAATTCTTTCTTGAATTACCCCTTTGTTTTATGTTCTGGAGACTTCTGTAGTCAGTGCATTGTAACAAACTTTGGGATGTGTGATGAAGGATGCTTTCTTCCTTGAGAGTAGAAACAGATTCATTGTGGAAAAATAAAGACAACAGGAAAACTGGTGGATTGCAGTTCAAATGCATTCTTAGGCAGATCACTGTTAGGAAAGGTGTGTATGATACTTGGGGATTGCATACATATGTATCTGTATCACCCATGAAATGATTTTTTAAAATTAATTTGAATTATGTTTATTTAATATAATATGCAACATGGTAATCACAAGATAAATTGATCATGACGTCCAGTATATACTCTCTGGTACTTCCTCCCTTTTATTGAAAGTAGATTCTTTTCTCACATAATATATCCTGATTACAGTTTCCCCTTCCTCTTCCTAGGTCCTCCCTGCCTCTCCCATCCAAATTCACTCCTTTTCTGTCTCTCATTAGAAAACAAACAGGATTCTAAGGGATAATAATAAAATAAGATAAGCGTATCCATTTTGACTTAACATCTCCAATGTAATCTATTTTAAATATGCAACACTTCTTTAATATCTTTTGTATTGCGTTATGATACAGCTTCACAGTAGAGTCTAACATTAAGAAAACATTCTATTTAGCATTCATTTATCTATTTGATAAGCCACTTAAAATTTTTGTATTTTCACCATGTAAATTCTAGGGTACAACTAGGAATAATATGTAACATTGATTTAATTCCTGTTGATGATTTATGGTGTCTTTATTTATTTATTTAAAGACAAGTACCTATGTTAGAGTTAGTTGAAGGAGCTTCAAATGGTGCTCAGAGTCATATAGTTTGTGGCTGTAACAAGAAGATACTCTAGCAGTCCAGCAGGATCAAAGAGATTATTATTAATAATAAAACCCACTCATTGAGATTGAAGCAGTAGCAACCTGTAGATGAGCTATTCAAAACAATATGATAGATAGTTTAATAGAACTCTTTCCTTTATTTCTTGGCTGTTAGGTATCCTACTGACTTGCAGGCAGAACTGTGAGTGTGTGAAGTCTGCCTTTCCCCATAGTGCTGGCCAAGCAACACTCCAGCTGGCTGCTCATAATTGCATTGATTTTGATCTGAACAAACAGAGCTCCAAAAAAGAAATGCAATGAATGTACAAATATTCTACAAATTTTATCTTTTTTCTCCTCCGTAGATATGATATCTGCACTTATAAAAATAAGCCCTGTGGAACATTGGGTAAGTTTTGTTTTGTTTTGTTTTGTTTTTGAGTAAAGGATAATTTAGATGTCTCTTTGAGGCAATGATGCTACTCTTTATTATTATTAATTTGGTTATTTTTCTTTCTATTACATGGGAAATTACCCCTAAAAATTTTTAACATGTCCTTTCTTGCATACATAATTGCTTGAAACAAATTTTTGTTCCCATAATAGTGAAAAAATTTAAATTTTTATTAACTTTGCATTCTCTGGCAAATGGTATGAATGAAAATAACTTAGGAGATTATTTAAAAATCAGTAGTAATTATAAGTCATAGTTACCACTCATTTTCTTATTTTCTGTCTTTCTAATACATTTTGTAAAACAAACAAACAAAAAATGCCCCCAAAACAAAAACCAGAGTGTTTGAGACAAGTGAAAGCTTCTTGAAATCAAGACTAGTGAAGGAAAGAAAACAAACTAAGATACTTAGAAAAGGGGGCTGGAGAGATTAAGAGCACTGGCTGCTCTTCCAGAGGTCCTGAGTTCAATTCCCAGCAACCACATGATGGCTCACAACCATCTGTAATGGTATCTGGTGCCCTCCTCTGTCATGCATGCAGGCAGAACACTATGTACATAATAAATAAATAAATCTTTTAAAAATGAAAAATAAATAAAAAATAAAAATTATACTTCTTTTGGTATATTTTTTTAAACCACTTATCTCCCATGAACTCAGATATTATCTAAAAAAATGTTAGTCCAATCACCAAAGAATTTCATCAAACAGTTAGCTGGAGATGGAGAAAGAAGGAGGAATTTTCTTTTTCTTTTTAAAAACATTTCAGTAATCATCTTGAATTTTTAAAAAAGGATATTTTGTTATGAAGCATGGTTTAATATTGGTTGAAAGTTAAATGTAAACACAGTGGATTATTATGCAGCTCTCAGAAGGCCAAATCTTAAAATAACTAATGTTATTTTAAGGTACGAGATTTTTTTCCCCCTTTGACAATTTTTAGTGTCATGAAAACCTTTTACAGACTCAATATCTAAGCAAGAGAAAGTCAATTTTTTTGACTTCTCTATCTATATCAAGTCTCAGTTTTCTTATCTGTAAATGAATAAGTCAGTTCCTATGAATATCCTAAGCGTTTGGGAATATCTAGTTAGAGTGGACTTAGGAGAAAAAGTGTTCTCAACTTCCTGGTGGTTCAGTGAAACATCTCTTCAAAGACTGGAATTTCTCTTGATCAGTTTTTTTTTTTCTTTCTTTTTTTTTGGTTTTTCGAGGACAGGGTTTCTCTGTGTAGCTTTGCACCTTTTCTGGAAATCGCTTTTGCAGACCAGGCTGGCCTTGAACTCACAGAGATACACCTGGCTCTGCCTCCCGAGTGCTGGGATTAAAGGCGTGCATCACCACCGCCCGGCTCTTGATCAGTTTTTACATGGCTTCTCCTATCCCGTGTTCCTCAAGATTTATGACTAGAGGAGAAATCCCAATTAGCCAATGCCTTGTATTCACCACGGAAAAGTTTGCTAGTTTAATACCTGTCACAGAAAGAGCTCTCTTTGCTGAACTAGCTCATGTTGGGGTTTTCTTTGTAGTGTTTCAAGTTAAGACCAACTGAGAAAACCTGAAGTTGAGACTAACCTTGACAGTTTCAGAGTATTTGTGACTTTTTACTATCTTTTAAACCTCCTTGTTTCTCAATTTCCTTATTTATGAAGCAGGAGTACTATCTGACCTTTTACTAAAGGAATATTGTTAAAAATCAATCAAAAAATACAATTCCTTTGAAAATGAATGTTATAATAAAGGAACAGGTATTATTATTTGATATAGAATCACCTGCTGTGTTTTATTTAATTCGTTTAGTTATTGTTCAAATTCTATAGGTACTTATTAAGTGTTTGGTTTTTCGAAACAGGGTTTCTCTGTGTAGCTTTGGCTCCTTTCCTTAGAACTCACTCTGTAGCTCAGGCTGGCCTCGAACTCACAGAGATCCGCCTGCCTCTGCCTCCTGAGTGCTGGGATTAAAGGCATGTGCCACCACCGCCCAGCTTCTATTAAGTGTTTTATCTACTTTAGAACCAATGAACCCTAAAGCCTCAAAACAAGTATACATATAAGCTAGGGCTTATATTTTCAAGCATATATGTTTTAAGGAAATAAGTATATACATTTTCATTCTGTTATTTAAAGGTATATTATTTACATTTACAGGCTCTTTATTCTGGCATTAGTAATATGACTACCTAGTACTTTCATTATCATTACTAATGATTTGGTGTAGTTTACTGTCTAATTTGTTCTTTTTTTGCTCAAAATAATGTATTGTAACTTTAATCTTTCATTCAATTCTACAGTCACTAAATTAATTGCTAGGTACACATGATTGTATTTTCAAGCACAATTATTTGTAAATTAAAATTATAATTTTTGAAAACTGAATATAATGCATAAATAGATACATGTATTGACTTTT